ATGACAGGAGTACCCACACCCTGTCCCCGCTGCCACCTCTAGCAGATTCTGTCCCTCAGTCCATGAGAGCAGTAAGAAAGATTTTTTCCTCTGAACATTCTAGGTGCTTCCAGGTGTTTTGAGCAGGGGAAAGGGCTAGTTGCTTCCTGACTCTCACTGTCTGTCATTAATATCCTGAGTTCCCGTGAAACACATCTCTGTCCATTCTGGATGAGCCTGGAGTCGTGATATATTTTTTTCTTTGCATCGCCTTCTTGTTATCTGGGTTTATTGAGACAGGGTGTCACTATGTAGCCCAGACCGACTTGGAACTTACCAATCTTCCTACCCTTGCTTTCAGGTGCTGACTGCCTGGTCTCTTTCCTTCAGTGCAAATGTTATTCCCCTGGTTAGCTAGGGAGTAAGAGCCATGGTGTTAATTACTACACTTGATTGAACAAGGTCCTAGAGAAAACTCACTGATGAATATGACATTGGTACAGTGTGGGCCTCTGCTTTTCTGGTCTACCCAGCTTAGGTGACAGACTCACTGGGGCAGACTCTTTCCTAATTGAAATCCCTTGGGAAGGAGGCACGGATGAGCCAATGTGAGCCCAACTAATTTTCTCTCACTTCTGGTTTTGAAACTCAGCATGCAAAAGCAACAAAGCTTGAAAAGATGCACTAGAGCCAGAATCTACTGTGTGCCATGATCCTGGGGAGTAACTCTAGGCAACCGTGGGTTGTTCCATCATCTCTAATATGAGAGTAAGCTGTTTGAGCACCTCCAGGGATTGTGAGGGTTAATGGCTTCCCTCACCTCTCAGGTTTTCTACAGTGCTTCGTGCATTGCAGGTATTAAAGGATGTCTGGGGTTTGTGTTGTTATATTGCCTCTCCATTTGTCTTTGCTTTTTTTTAATGGAATGTTCTGAATTTTTAGATTATATACTCAGTCATACCCAATATTTCTTCTCAGTCTATCCTCTTCATTTAGGTTTTTGTTTGTTTGTTTGTTTGCTTTTGTTTTGTTTTGAAGACAAGGTCTAACTATGTATCCCTAACTGGCCTGGGACTTGTTTTGTAGATCAGACCGCCTTTGAACTCTCAGAGGTCTGCCAGCCTCTGCCTCCTGAGGGCTGGGATTACCGTTGTGCACCATACACCTGGCCATACTCCCCTCCATTTTAGCACGTGCCTTCCCTCAGACCCCTCTGTGAGGGATAGCCACTTTCATCTTGTTCGGGTCTTACCTTTCCCAAAGAACTGTCCGTGTTTTGTCACTGTGTGAGGCCCCCTTTGCCTGCTACCTATCCACCATCTAGCTCTGTCCCTGGAATTGTTCCAGAGACACCACAGGTGAAGATTGTGACCTGTAAACCAAATGCTCTTCTCAGGGACATGACTGAAATACAAGCAAAATCTGCTGCCAACACAAACACAGACAACTTCTAGCATTCATCATGCCTGGCTTCTCCAGAAGGCAATAGGACCTGGCCATCCTGGGCTAATGCTATTCAAGATACCAATATGTGGGAGCGCGAAGTTTATCCTGCCTTTCGGCACCCTGGGAACCTCCACCTTGCTTCCTGCTGGCCTTTCAATTGCCTCTGACCTGGATCCTGGAGGCACTGGATCTTGTGACATCAACTTTAGAACAAGAAAACCTGAGTGTCACAGAGGAAACAGAGCAACACCTGGTAATGCCAAGACCTCGCCGCAAGTTCTGCATTCCACCAGTTGTCTGAACATGCTTGGCCCCCTCACTCTCTTCTTTTTCCTCTGGTGGTGGTGGGGAGAGGACACTTGGAGACCTCTATATGTATTGGCTGTGACCATGGTAGGTGAAGTACAGCATAGACACTGGCTGAGCTCAAGGTCTCCCTTGTTCAATCACATGGGGCTTTCTGGGGATCATTGTGTTGCTGACTGACATAAGACGAGGTGCCAGATCTTTCCCTTGCTTTTGACTCTCTATGGGAGCTTTTGCTGATGGTGTTGAAAGTTATGAAACTAGCCAGGACTCTGGGCCAGTCATGCTGCTTTCACCGTGAGGAAGAAATGCAAGAAGCCCTAAGCTCTGACTTTCTCTCTCTTGCTTCCTTTCTTGGTCAAAGGAAGAAGGCTCTTCCTACACATTCACCGCCTTGCTGGCTTCCACTACAAAGGGCCTCACACACCTACCTGCAGCCCACTGGCTGGCACATCTCCAGGGTAAATAAAGCCCATGATTTTTCTTATTAATCACAAATACACAGCCTCTCTTTCTATTGTTCTGTGCCTGGTTCACACCCTATATAATTTTATTCGGTTCCTACAGTCCTGACATGCCCTAAGCTACAACTGACATTGATTCAGTGGCTTTTAAAAGGTGCTATCTGTTCCTTGTGTCTACAAGGAGCTATCTGAGAGTTGCCGCAGTGGTGACTCAGGCCTTCAGAGAGCAGGGCACAGTGAGGTCACATGCCACCAGGGAAGGGATTTAGAACTTAGCAAATTCATATAGGGTTCCGGGGGGAGCCTTTGGGCCTGAGTATCTTCGTTCCTATGGCTGAGCTCAGGACACTTTTTCTTGGGCTTCTACACTGGTGTGTGAACCCTGCTAGCCCCAGCCTATGTCTACTCCATGAGCCCTTTGAAGGACCCCTTATGATGCAACAGGCTGGATAAGACATGCTCAGCCTTGAAGCATTCCTGGCCTAGCTATGGTCAGCAAAGAGGAGAGTTTTGCTGACATGGTTACAGAGATCTAACCAGCATAACTCACCAGAAACACACTATAGCAGTGTCCAGTCCTGGACTGCCTGCGTCCCAGGATAACTATGAATGCAGCCCAACGTGGATGAAGATAGTAATGCCATGTGTGGTGTCAAAAGGTTGGATAACCATCATTAAAAAAAAGTCCATCTTTATGGGCATGCTGACTGTAGGTTTATTCAACTTGAAACATATGTGGGTGGAAAAAAATTAAAATAATGTAGATGTGTCCAAAGCAAACAAGGAAGGTTTTAAAATTTAAAGGTACATAGAATTGTGCTAACATTTTAATCAAAGGGAACGCTGGCACCATCTCTTCAGAGAAGTCAAAGGGTTTGAAACGTGTTTGGGACAGATACCCTTGATCCGAGCTTCTCATTTCAGCATATTTGGAACCCAGCGATGTTGGAGCCTGGAGAAGCTGCTGAGGCTCACTAGACACCCTGCGCTTCTTCCACTTCTGATCCTTGACACACTCTGGGCCTGTGAGGCAAGAACAAAAGTGTCCCCTGTCACTTTCAGCTGGAGGCCCCGTGATGGCACCTGCATTTCTTTTTTCTTTCCCCAACATTGGAGGCCATGTGCAGAGCTCTAAGTATAATGGCCACCCAACCTACATTCCACGGTGACATTAAAAGGAATGAGCATTAATTACGTCAAAGTTTTCAGGATTAATTTGTTACTGAAGCGTGGCCTCCTCCACTCTGCCCAGCCCTGTCATACATTTAAAGCAGAATAGACTTTCCCCCCCCGAAAAGTTAGCAATAAATCTCTGACCAATCTTACAGTTACTGCCAAACAATTCAAAGACCGGAAAATTCTGTTTATTTTAGTTTCAGTAGTCAATGTGGAAAATTACTAGTAGCAATAATTTAATCTAATGAAGTGTTCTCTGTGAGAGGTGGGAGTGGCTTTTAACCGACAGTTCCCTGGAGAGTAGTCTCGCCTTCTGACCCCTCGGATTTAGGGATACCTTTCTCCTACTTTCCATGTCCACATATTAGACAGGAAAAAAAAATGTTGAAAACATAGTCGTTGTGCTCAAATTAAAAGTTCTTCCCTCCCACCCTTTCTCTTACTTTGTTTAAAAATGCTTATCGGTGGCCAGCGAGATGACTCAGCAGGTGAAGTGTTGGTCACTCAAAGCTGCCACCTGAACTCGATCCCAGCATTCCATGGCGGAAGGAGGGGACTGAATTCAGAAAGCTGATCTCCTGCCTCCACACTCGGGCCACGGCATGTGTGCGCCCTCCCACCCCCAACAAATCTCTCTCTCTCTCTCTCTCTCTCTCTCTCTTTCTCTCTCTCTCTCTCCCTCTCTCTCTCTCTCTCCCTCTCTAACACACACACACACACACACACACACACACACACACACACGTCCCCCACTATACATAGACAAACACACTAATCATAATAAATTAAAATTAAATTAAAAATATGTATTTGAAGAATTCAATGAGCCAATCAGTTGAGGGAAGTAAAAATCCTTGGGACCCACCAGTTGGCAGCTAAGACCCGGATAAAGAAGAGAACTGCATGGGATGCTGAGGAGCTAATCAATGGTACACTAGCTCCATGCAGGGGCCTGAGAAAATAAGCAAACGTACTGCACATAATGATTCTGGAGGTTTTCTGGGCACAGATGTGCACCATGCAGGTCCTGTACATTGGTGTGCACAACAGTGGAAACTCCTCTCTAGAGTTCCTAGAGTTGGAACCACACGTTTATTTACCTAGACAGATACCAATGGTTTCAGTCCTCAGCAACACGCTGTCCAAGTCTATGGCCTTGCTCAATGGTCTATGCCACATAGAGGTGGACTTTCTGATGCCCAGGCAATGAGGGACGTGCCTACCAGGGTGCCTTGGAGAAATGGCTGCTCTCAGGTGGCGGTAAGAAGAGTCCAAGTAACACATTATTACCAGAAATTAATGTGCCCCAGGATGGTGGTACATGTGGAAAGGACACAGGCACCAAACAAAAGGCTCCCGGTGGTTAATCTTAGATCGTTTCCCAACAAAAGAAGTGCCCGGAACAGATTACAACACACTGACTAAATAACAGCCACGAGGCATGCTGGATGCACCTAAATAAGTAAATAAGTATGCAGAAGGAAAGGTCAAAGTTCTTTGTAATAGAAAGTCACCTGTCAAGAGTGGAAAATCTCTGCCCGGCAGCCTGAGTATTAATAATTAATTCAGCTAGGACCGGTCATCAAGCTCTAAAACCAGTGTGTGAGCAACAGGTAAAGGTCAGGGAATTTGCTCGATCCTGAAGTATTTCACAAGAGGCCTATCACAAGAGCACAAGGAAGTTCACAGTGAAGTAAGAAGATGCTCAGCCCTGTAGTCCTGTCCCAGCACCACGGGCTGCATCTGGGATGGGCCACGGTAAGGGCTTCTCCATTTCATCCCCTTGGGCTTCCTGTGAAACATGGTAACCTCAGTCTAGTCGTGAGAAAGTGCCAGGTAAATCCAACCTGCAGGATACTTCATCAGCATTCTTTTAAAAACCGCTGAGGTCATGGAAGCTAATGTAAGACTGGGGAAGGAAGGGGCGTGGTAGCTGAGGGCAGCTTGTGTATGTGCATATGCGCGTGTGTGTGTGTGTGTGTGTGTGTGTGTGTGTGTGTGTGCACGTGTGCGTGTGTGCTTGTGTTTGTGTATACAGTCAGCACTTCATACTTTCCACTTCCGTATGCTTAGATTCAACAAGCCTTATATCAAAAATATATCTTGTATCTGTTTTGAACAAATAGTGTTTAGTTTTTCTGTCATTGTTCTCCAAACAATGAGCCTAACCCCTATATGGCATTTTTATTTTGTTAGGTATTATATGGGATTGCCAGTGTGTAGGAGGATGAGTGTCCATGTTGTGTAAATATCATGGTGTTTTATGTAAGAGACTTGACTGTCCTTGGATTTTGGTATCCTCGGGAATCCTGAAGCCAATTTCCTGTGGACACCAAGTGCTGTCTCTAGATATGGATATGGTTATAGATATAAGAAGGAATAAGGACAGGAAATATGATGCAGGGCCAATTGGAGAACCACAAAGGGCATGCGAGGTCTGTGTACAGTTCTTATTACTTGAGTCTTAGTGTGTTTTCCACACAGAGAGCAGCTGTTCAGATCACTGAAGTAATTGGTTTCTCATACCCTGCTTCTTTCTTTCAGGGTGCCTCACCAGCCCCTTGCAAGCCTGGATTCAGGGAAAGGGGAGAGAAACGAATATGTCTCCATGGTGGGAAAATCTGAGAGAGAGAAGATGGAGTATTAGAAACTCTCTCCCTCGGAAATAGTGGGAAAAGTCAGATTCTCGCTGTCTCCATGTGTGCAGTTCTTTCTGGCTCTAAAACACACTGTCTCCCGACTCTGCTTTCACGTCCCTCAGGCCACCTACAAGCTCTGGCGTTCCCTCCACTGCTAACACGGAGCACTTCCACTCTGTAATGGAGGAGTTCCCCCTGTGTAGAGCTCTGTGTGGGGTCTGTAAAAACACAGCCCTAAGGTTTAGTTTACAACCAACGATGTTCAATACACATTTCAATACCTTTGGATCACCGCAAGGGGCAGTGCCGAGTGCATGGATGGTGGTGCTCACCCATCACTACCATCTCCAGAACTTCTTCATCCTCCCAAACTGAAACTCTGAACTTAGTAAGCGCTGGCTCCCCATCCTTCTGCCCGGCTCACTGACTCCCTGTCTCCATGAATTTGACCATTTTAGGGGCCTCACATGAGTGGAACAATAGAAGACAGACATCAGTGGTCATCCACGATGCAGCGTTTGTCATAATTTCCTTCTTTTGGGGGGTTGGCGAAGGTTCCCCTGCACAGGTGCACCACACTCGGCTTATCCACCCACCCAGAGGATATTTCGGCTTCTGCCTCTCACCTGTTGGTGTGAATGCCCCTATGAGCATGGGTGACAACGTTCACCTGTACTGTTTACATTCCCATGGGCAGGGAGTAAGAGCTTTAAGGTTTTAGCCTACATCTCCGTCCCCATCTCTTGTCAGCAGGCTCACCCTGGAAGAGAAATCTGATGTTACTTGAAGCAGCAGACCATGAGGATTTCTTTTGTAGTCTCCTTCGTGCAAATCCTTAGCGACCCTGGAATGGCCGATTGCACCGCGTCTTGTTCCTGGAGCGCTGTTGGAGGGAAATACAGTGAGGTTTTGAAACAGCTGGAACTCCTTCAGACCAATTCCACTCACATCCTCATTTTCACATTTGCACAGAAAGGGCTTCCCGATACGTGGAGCACACTACAAATGACATGTTTAAACTACACGTAGCCTGGAGCACACATGGGCTCCTGGAAGACATCTACATGTCTTAGACAAGAGAGCAGGCACTGAGAAGTCTCTACCCTGTACACACACACACACACACACACACACACACACACACACACACCAGCAGGAGATCTTTAATACTCTCGTCATCATGATTGGCATTTTCTGATTCCAATGGCCAGTGATCTGCCCAAAGCCACCTGCACTTGAATGAGTTCAGCAGCGGGGCTCTTGTCCATGCTTGGAAGTGAGCAGCTGGCAGAACGGTGAGTTTCAATTGCCTGCTTCTCAGCTGCCCATGGCTCCTCTTGGTGAACTGGGATCTGGAAGATTCCTTGACTCTCCCTTGGCTCCTCCAAGTTTTACCTGTGTCTCGAGACCATACGAATGTTTGATGGCAGCTCAGGCTTCAATTTTTTTAAGTTGCTGGCTCCACTCCGAGCCTGGAATTTGTCACATTATGTGGAAGGCTGACCACTCCCTTCCGGGATGCTCCATTTTACACCCTGGCTCAGTTCTTGCCTGATTGGCCATCATGGTAGCTTAGGATCCCTACCCTTCAGCTCCTCCAGGGGAACATGTACTCTGCTGTCCCCTTGGCTTCTGCTCCAGAAAGGAAGCAGCCTTCTCTCAGCCCCTGAAGTCACAGTTCTTTCCTCTTAGCCTCTTGCCAGATGCCACCAGGGACTTCGGAAGAATGGAGAGAGTGGAAGAAGGAGGAGGAGAAGAGAGGCACTTGCTTCCATGCCTGCTTTGCTTACTTCAAAGGCCTTGCTAATGAGCCTGCCTATTGTCTCTGCGCTGTCTATTCCTGTGTTTTGCAATCCACACACTCAGGAGATCACAGAGAACCAAGGAGCCTTTCAGACAGGACAGGGCAGCCCACCCTCCCCCTCTGAGGAATCAAAGGGGCAATTGTCAAGGGCAGATGACTGTGATCTGACACATAGCTACTGGAACAGGCTTGGTGAAAGAAAGGAACATTCACTGTTGGGAGGAGGCTAGGTGTAGGGGATATGGAATGCCATGCTATGAGAAATTGTTAAGACAGCTTCACAGAGATGGCTCAGTGGGAAATGGTATACATCCCTTTCCCAGATCTATACCTACTCCCATCTCAGCCTGTAGGCCAATAGTTGCCCTTTGCTAGTGTGGAGCGGGAGGGGACGTATTGACATTTGGTAGTAAATAAGGACATTTTTGCTGGTCATAATCAGGGTGGTGTGTTTCTGGCTTATAATAACTGGAGACCAATTATCTTGCTAAATATCCTACAGTGCACAGGACAGACAGCTTTCCATGGGTAAGAACTACCTGACTCAAATTGCCAATTGCCACTTGTTTCTGCTATGAGCAGAATCAGAAATACATCTTTTTATTATATATACCTGATATGTCTATATAAAATATCACATATGTAAAAATATATGCATTACATATGTATGTGTGTGACTAAGCTCCTCATGTGGCTTTAGGAATGGATTGTTGCTGTTATAACTTTAGGACATTTTACCTCATACCCATCATTTCCCTGCTCACCCTAGGTGGCTCACATCCTACTAAAGGATCATATGTCCCCTTTGATTTTTTTCCCTTTTACTACCTTAGTGATGAAGGCTTCTTCTTCCATCTTATACCATGTTTTCTTTCATCAGATTCTCCTGACAGAGAGCCAAGTCGTATTTGCAGGTTGGGTGCCTGATTTGAGGAGAACATTCAGATCAAAGCATTGGATGTAAACACGGTATCATAAATGCGGAACCATAGCATCTAAAGAGAGCTTCCATGGCTCTCACTGTTACCAGGGATGCTCTATGTCTCTGGTGCCGATGTGGCATAATGATCATGCAGTCTCTCTGCAAGAAAGGCCACCATGGACAGGGAGACAATTTACTCTAATAAGAAACTCCGGAGCAGAACAGAGGGAGTGGGTGATGGTGATCATGCCCTGATAGGTAGCTGTGAACGATTACCTAAATTGGTGTCAAGAGCGTAAACTTGGGATATGCATCGTGAACCTCTGTGTGAAACTGGAGAAGTGCCCATCTCTGATGGTTTGAATGAAAACGTCCCCCAAAGGCTCATCTGTTTAAATACTTGGTCCTTGGATGTTGGAACTTTTGGGGAAGGATGAGGAGGCCTGGTTGGAGAAGGTGTGTCACCGGGGGCAGGCCTTGAGGTTTCAAGAGACTCACACCAGTGTGCTCCTTCCCCTGCCTTCTGCTTGTGGATCAAAGTGTAAGCCCTCAGCTCCTGTTTCAACCACTTATTGCTAAGACTGCACTCCATCATCATAGACTAAGCCTCTGGAACCACAAGTTCACTTACCTGCTTGCCTTTATAAGTTGCCTTGGTCATGGTGTCTTATCATAGCAATAAAAACTCTAACTAATAGAAAAGCTGGCCCCAGGGAGTGGCATATTGCTTCAATAGGCCTGACTATGTGATTTTTTGGGAGGAATACAGGAGACTTTGAAACTTTGGGCTGGGAAAGTGGTGGAAAGCTGTAAGCAGAGCTTAGCTGGCCATTTTAGTAGACATGTCGAAGACAGTGTGAGTGTGGGGGATTGTGGAGGCTCAAGAGGCTTCAGGGGTAAGTAAGGGCTTTAAAACTACTGGACTAGAGGCCATTCCTGTGACATCCTGAGGTCAAATATAAAGTAATGGACTAATTTATTTGATTTCAAGAGAGACCAATATTGACTCTGTCACGTGGTTTGCAGCCATCACTTCTATGCAGGTCTACACTGAAAAAGATTGAGTGGAGCAAAGAAATACAAAAACGTACTGTTTAAAAAGAAAAAGAGTATCAGAAAATTTAATGTTGGAGCCAAGGTTTGTTCTGAAAAAGATGAGGAGACTGGGGACGGGTTCTGATCTGAAATGGAATAAGTGTGAGGTGCCCTCAAGGCAAGACCACACCCAGCTAAGCTTCCAACTTGTGAAAGGACATGGTTTATAGAATTTTATGCTTCTAAATTCTTTAATTTAGGATTAAAGCAACAACAAAAGAAAGTCACTGCAAAGGCGACTCAAGGGGCCAGGCTCCACCCCAAGCAGACAGTGGAACTTGTTGGTATTGGCCACCTGGTTCTGACTTCAGAGTCACAAAGGGTATAGGAGTAAAGGCATGGTAGAATCTTGCTCTGTGGTTAAGGGGAGCCTCTAAGGCCAGGTGTTTGGCAAGGAAGTCCCTGTATGATGGCCATGAAAGGTGCTGTATGAAGTTGTGAAAGCGAAGCCTGGATTATATTGGAGACCCCAAGAAGCTGGAGATGGCAGAGTTGTGGGGGTGTCTACCACAACTTGTGAGGAGAGTCACATACAGGGGTGGAACCAGCTCAAGGGAGAGAAGTGTGTTGCAGTTAGCAATGCTGGAAGAATGGAGCCATCTAAGCCCTGTGACATCAGACATGGTGTACCAGAGTTTGAAATTTGCCCTGTTGGGTTTCAGTCTTCCTTTGGTCATAGTATTCCCTCACTATGTCCCTGCTACTCCTTTTCTGGGATGCTAACGTAAACGTATATTCTGTGATATTGTATGTTGAAAGTTTGTAACTTGTTGTTGTTTTGTTTTACAAGGGGTCACAGCAAAGAATTGGCCTTGAGTCACAGAAGACACTTTGGACTTTGAAACAGGGTTAAGACTGTGAAAGACTATGGAGACTTTTGAAGTTGGGCAAAATACATTTTGCATTTTGATATGGTCATGAGACTATAGAGACTAGGGGTGGAATGTGGTAGTCTTAATCATAGTGACTCCCACTGGCTCATATGTTTGAATACTTGGTTCTCAGTTGTTGGAACTGTTTGAGAAGGACTAGTAGGTGTGTGACATTGTTAGAGGAGGTGAGTCACTGGGAGTGGGCTTTGAGGTTTCAAAAGACTCATGGCGTTCCCAATCGCTTTCTGCCCCCTACTTGTGGATCAAGATATGAGCTGTTATCTGCTGCTCCAGCCACCGAGCCTTTACACTGTCCTCATAGACTCTAACCCTCAGGAACCATAAGCTTTCAACTTTCTTTTCTAAGTTTTCTGGTCACGGCATCTTATCACAGTCTTACGGGTGCTATTTTCAAAGTCCTCAAGTGTTTGCTTTTAATCCTGATGTTTGAACCTCACAATGAATTTGAGAAGGCTGAGCAACCCAGGTCAAAGATCAAGCAAGGCTGGCAAGGTTGGCGAGCCCACCAGAGTAAAGTGGGATTGCGGATAAATGTCCACAAGAAGAAGTATGTTTGTACAACCTCCACTTAGCCTAAAAACGGGAGCCACAACATGTCTGTGAAAATGATCAGAAACCCAAAGCAACACCGTGCTCATGGGAACGCCTGGGTTTTCCTCCCTCAGGACTCCATGCTTTAACCATCCGATGACATAAGCCAATGAAGATGGCCAGAAACAGCTCACAAAACCCAGGGTAGTGTGAACCATTTATGTGTGCATGCGGGTCCCACCACTTTTTAGCCAGCACTGGGACATGATATGAGATAACGGATGCATACATAGCCTGTGACCGTGATGAGAGAGGGTGGGAATATGAGGAGATATCCTCAGAGAGTAGACAACCTCTTTTCTGCATGTCTTTTACTTGAATGGGTGATGTGGAGACTGGATATGCATATGCCATGTTGGCATCTGTGTCTGTCTACAGCTGTGCTTTTATATCAATGACTAGGGCTATGATGTTGACTATATCTATGTCTGGACCCATGTTTATGTCTATGACTATGGCTATGGTACTGTCTTCTGGTTATTTCTGTGGTTATGTGCTATCAGAGGCTCTTCATTTATTCCCAGCCACCCAGACCCGAAATAATCACACAGAAACTATATTATTTGCAATATTGTTTGACCAATAGCTTAAGCATATTTCTAGCTGGCATTATATCCTAAGCTAGTCCATCTTCATTCATCTGTGCATCACCATGAGGTCATGGCCTGCTGGCAAACTTTCAGCAGGCTCCAGCAGCTACATGGCTTCTCCCTGACTCCGCCTTCTTTCTCCAAGCATTCAGTTTTGTTTTCCTCCCTAGCTCTACTCTGCCCTATCACAGGCCAAAACAGCTTCTTTATTCATTAACCAATAAAAGCAACACATATACAGAAGGACTTCCCACATCAGCTATGGCTACATTGGTGGCTATGTCCAGGTCTGACTGTGGGTAGCCCACACCAATGGTAGTGGCTGCATCAGTGACTAATGCCATGCTGATGGCTATATTTATGGATATATAGGCTATGGCAGTGGCTACATCAATGCTAATGACTCACTTTCTTTACCCCTATCTTCTTGTAAAACTTTCATAGAACTCAGTCTGCTACAAAAGCAAGTTAGAAAGCACAAACAGCAAAGGCACTGTGAAAGAAGTCTAGAGAAACCTGTGGTGTTGTGCAATACACTTGGAAACTCTCAGAGTCTGAGAAGATCTGTTTCACAGCAGCACACAGGAAGAAGCACAACCCCAGCCTGAGCAGAAGCACTTCCCATCACCAGGGGTTTGCACCATCTCACGAGGTGTGATTGGAGGATGCAGGTCAGAAAGTGTCTGGAGATAAATTCATCCCCAGGAGGAATGGGGCAGACAATAGAACTGTCCACTGGTGACCAAGACCCTCCCTCCTGGGTCGGGAAAATGGCTCTGATCATACCCTCAGGTGGAAACACACATAGGGCCACCATTAGCAAGCCCTGGGCCTCAGTTTCCAGCCTTGTGAAAAGAGGAGCTAGAGACTGAAGATGAGTTAACTCTTTAAGACTCAATACCCTGTGGTCTACAAAAGTTAGTTTCAGAACAGGCACCAAAGCTACACAGAGAAACCCTGTCTCAAAAAACAAAAACAAACAAACAAAAAAACCACATTGCTGGCTCAACTATTAGTGTTACCCCGACAGTACAAACAGTGGATTCTGATGAGAAGTCATCTTCCAAAACTCTTAATGCCCAAACCATGTTATGGATGAATTTTATTCCTTCAGATAATTTATGTGTTGAGTGCCTTGCCTCCGGTACCTAAGAATGTGGTTGTGTTGGATATTTTTGTCCTTAAGGGGCTGTTACAATAAAGTGGGTCATTTGAGTGTGTATTCATCTAATGTCGCAGATGTCCTTGTAAGAAATGGACCTGACTACAGCACACGACTGAACTAAGGCCAAGTGGGAACCAAAGAGATGCCATTTGCAAGTCAAGGAGCGGGAAACCAGAGAAACATGCCCTGCCCATGCCTTCACCTCTGACTTCCATCTTTCAACTCTGTGAGGTAAGCCATGGCTGCTTAAGATGGACCCAGGTCGGGGTGGGAAGGGAATGAGTTAGGAGGGTATCAGGGACCTCTGCCACAGTTGCTGGGTGTGGTCAAGAGACACACGCTAGGGGCAGATATTCTACAAGGAGAGTAGAGCCTGCAGAGCTGAGCTATCAATCAAGGTGTCGCTTAGCAACAGACAAGTTCTAGGAAATTAATCATTAGCTGACTTCATCATCCTGTGACCATCACGAGGTATTAGCACAAACCCAGGTGGCCCAGCCCTACCACACACCTTGGCTATGGAGCACAGTCTCAATCAGTGTGAATATCTGTGTGTAACCACGGTCAATGCGAGCCCATAAGAACCCATTGAATGCAAAAGCCCCGTGAATGCATCCAGCTGGGACATCTTCTCACCAGCCTTCATGGAGGCCGAACCTCACGCTCCTCTCCTTCTCTCCTTCTCTCCCACACTCTGTGTTTATGTAGTTAAGGAGTTCTAGCATGCTTTCTTTACAGTTCCCTGCATGTCTGCTCTGCCTCTGGCTGTGCATGTCCACCTTGCCTATTTAGCCTTTCTCACCCCACAGACATGATTCCTAGTGCCTCTGTGGATCCTCTCTTAGTGTTCCCCTCCAAGAATCCCTCCGCCATGGTCCCACCAAGAGCCAACACACCTCCTCTGTCTTGCTGTTCCTTGCTTCTCTACCTTCTCCATTTCTTGGCCCTCCTCTGCTGACGTCTTAGTTCGCTCTGTCTCCCAGGACTCAAGGTGTGGAAATAATGGAGTGGACTGTCCACAGCAACAACTGTTCTTGAAATAGGAATGTGCTACATGAGGATTAGGGAAATCTCTTTTGAGTATCCTTACCTGATTTGTTGCATAACTTCCTGGGGATGCACAAATAAACATCTGTTTGTTCCAGATAGGGCACTGAAGACAAAGAAATGATCCTCCTCAAGTCTGACTTGTCAAAGTGGTGGATATCAGGGTCTCTTTAAGTATGGGTAAGGCACAGGATCCCCTCAGGCAGCTTCACCCCCAAAAGCTCACTCAGTGTGACAATGAGTTGCGAATCCCTGGAGCCCCTTGAACAGCTTGTAGGCAGCTCCCCTGAAGAGACTTCTTTTTCTTAGAAACTGCTCACT